GAACCCGGAATTATCCCATTTGTCGAAGGACGCTGATTTCCATTGCGCGTCGAACCATGCGAACGGAATGGACGCGAAAGGATGGAAGGTAAGAAACGGCACGATCGAAATAGTTAAGTCGATCGCGACATCGAGGACGCGGCTCTTTGTTCGCCGTGGAACGGCAGCGCGGTTCGCGTACAACTGGTCCGTCAAGCGTATCGTACCCGTGCTTCAATACAAACGTTAATAATAATTGTCAGATAACGAGTAACGAACGACAGATTTCGTTCGAAGGCACAAAGCTTTGCGCGCCGTGCCTACGGAGCTCCTACAAAGAAGCCACGTCCGCATCGCCCCGTCCCGTCGCGTTCTCACCAATTCCAATTAATTCTCCCACGTGCGCCACGAATTTGTCCGCCGAACGTGCAACGGACTTTGCCTTTGTCCGACTCCGGCCGAACGTGTACGCGTAGGCGATGGTCATTTTTGGAATAGCAGAGGGAAGAACGTGCCGTGGATGTTCCAAGTGACTCGGTGCGGCGGAGTAGTTGGACAAATGCCACGAATTTTCCGCGAGCTGATTGCCCTAGTTAGCTTAATCGTTGCGTCATTGAGCACGGAGACGAGGAATCCATCGACTTTAGCCGGTCGAATTAAGTTATTGGAGCAATCGATAGATCCCTCGTATTCCGAGTCCTTCGACTCGGTCCGTGCTCCTCCGATCGCGAAACGCGTGCGTGGAAACGCGATTTCGAATATTCCCTCGCGGTGCTTTTCGCCAGGCGACGCTTGCCTTACATCCTTTCAAAGACGTTCTCGTCGCGTCGACGGTTTTAAGCTGCTATGCAACGATGCGCGTCGAGTGCAGGCTTTTCATTCGACGGGAGAAACTAGGTTCGTCAAAGTCGTACGCGACTTCCTCGGCGCGATGTCGCGTCACTTTATTACCACGGGAAGCTCGTCCCTTTCCGAGCAGCCATTCCTTTTTTAACTCGTCTTTTCACCCTTCCCTTTCTTCGCCACTTTTCGTCCTCGCTCCACGGTTCCTCTTTCCACGGTTTGCAGCGAAGAAACGTAGCGCATAAACGGTTCGCGCGATGGAATCGGCAGACCGAGGTCGGGCTAAATACCGATACTCTCAGAGCGGACGTCTAGATCCGAACGGAAAGAAGGCCGGCGCGATTCCGTATCCCTGAAACGAGCTTCCTCTGAAACGGCGTTAATAACGGAACGAAGACTCGATCGGCGTCCATTTCAAAGTTCTAATTGATAAATTGAAGTCTGAACGAGTTCGTCCCGCGACGAAGCCTCTCGGCTATTGTGCAACGCGGACTCCTCGCGACTCCCTCAAAGCGTCCGGCTGCGAGTAATTTAAAATTCTCTCGAATCTAAGTTTTCTCATTTGTGCCACGAAACCCCGATGAACCGTGTTCCTCGGTGAGAACCTTCCAAGCTTCTATCCGTTGATTTCGTAACGGGACAGCAGCAGTCCCTATTCCGGTACTAAACGATGGACGAGAGGAATCTCTCACGGCTCGCAGCTTCCTCGCTCTCCTCTTTTTTTCCTCCCCTCTTGCTCCCTTTATAATTTCACGGGACAAGGAGAATACTTGGCGAGCTGGACGGAGTTCAAAAGCGGGCAGGATCAAAGAGGAAATACCCAAGGCTGTGGAAGTTCTCTGCGAGGAACGCGGTCGCCCTCGAATTCGAAGCAGCAGGACACTCGTTGCAAGATTCAGCTCGAATAATCCTCTCGGATCATCGTCGTCGATTTTCTCTGCGCGCGAGAAGTTAGCCGCGCATCCGCGGAATAAGACGACAACGGGAAAACGAAGAAAGTTTCGACTACTTTCGCGCGTGACGCAATCAAACCGAGATCGAACCCATGGGATTATGGGGTGGTCCTTGCAAATTCCCGTTTAACCTTTCATATCGCGTTGCTGCTTCGCCTGTCGCTCTCCATTAAGAAATCGTGTTCCACATCCGAACGGTTTCCCTTAAACTCACTTAGACAATTTCCAGCGCGGTCTCTGTCGGTCTTTTCGCGGAACTATTTTCGTTCCTCCGACTATGCGGAAGCATCCCTTAACGCGGTACTTTTCTTCCAACGAATCCTCGTCGTTTAACCCGCTCGCGTGCTCGTTCCTCCTGGATGCATCATGGCGAAGCTCGGAGCCATCTAACTTTTCCCACGATCAGCCGGATTCATCTACCTTAACCACGCGTGTTGTTACTGTCAAGACTGCTCGGCATTTTGCGTGCTCGGGCTGTTGTTGATCTTCCGGCGAAGTGCAAAAGCAACAAGTTCCGTCCTAACGATTTCACAGTTTGCGAAACTTCGACCTACCTTCCTAATTGTACCCCGAGCGTTTTCGTTCGTGGACTCAGTAACCGTGGAACGATCGTGGTCGATGCGATGCTGTATACGTGGTGCGCTGTTTCAGGAATCGCTAATAAGTCTCGCCTTCGCGAGTGTATTTCGCGTGAGGATAGTGCTGGCCACTCGGTTCGTCGAATAACAATGGACGAAACGGTATGTACGAATTATCTCGCGCAGTTGTCGCTTTCGTTTCGCCTGCAGGCGCGAAGACGAGGGTGAAATTTCGTTCCGGTAATCTACCGGATCTCGAGGACGAGATTTCACGGGTTTTCCAGTCGCGCGTTTAATGCCCCGCCTCTCGGAACGGGTCCAAGCTTATCTTGAGCGACAATGAGCAAGAATGCCGCGCGGTGTAACGACCTACTTCCATTTACGTATGCACGCGAAATTCAGCGAGTATTCAGCGAAAAACCGAAGCCACTTCCCCGGCTGGAAATCTCGCGAAATCAAACGGCAACTTAGCCGCGCGTGAAAAGGGTCGACCCGTTATCGGGGGCTGACTTTCGAGCTGCGCCGAAACTTTTCCGCTGAGATCGGTGTGACAGGTTTCAACGAGATAATTGATAAAACCGTAGACAGGCAGGATGCAGTCACCCTTTCGGGGTAAAAAGAAAAGGAAACTCGCGAGGGACGACGCTAATGGAACCGGCCTCCATCGATTTCCGTTTTAAGATTCGCTTTCGACGTCGTCGGGGCTGTAAATAAAGCATCGACGGACGTGTCTCGATGAATAATTAAAGCATCCGAGTGACACTGGCCGCGGCAACGGGAGAAATAAACCCGGCAGAGGCCACGGTGTATCCGCAATTAAGGCTGCGTCTTCTCGCGGAAACGACCTAATCGAAGGTTCCGCTGGAAACGCCCCCCTACTTCGGTTACCGCGAATCTTTCGTACGTCGTTCGGCTAAAAGGTAGCTTTCAAGCCTGGAGAAAGTACCAACGGAACAACCACGGCGAGCCGTTGGTCTCTCGTATAAAGGGAACGTCCATTAGTCCACTCCGCGTAATACGATTCAATTCCTGCGCCATTTTTTCCCTCGATTCGCTTTGAATCCATCGCGCGCCACCCACCGGATGGATTCATGGACCAATTTACGGCGAACGGTCAATAAGCAGCGAGTAGAACTTCTGCCGAATTTCATCGTAAAACGAAAACAGGAACGATCGCAGTGAGCAAATACGATCGTACAAAGCGCGCCAACGTCGATATTGTTTCGCGTCCAATCGACTTTGCCTCTGCGCGAACGTAATAACGAAAGAATATGATTGATCGCGCTAACGCGGGTTATACGAGGCTGTTGAATTTTTCCCACGTTCCTCTCGCCGTATACCCGATTAATTTCTCCGACTCAGACGCTCGATTTCGAAACGAAAACCCTCGGAGATTCGAGCATCGCCCAAAATTTCCCTCGCAAACCATCGTACTTGGAATACTTCCCAGCGATAATTTCGGAGAATTTCTATTTCTCCATAAGGTGGAATTCCAAAACGGAGAAATATACTGGACGGATTTTATTCAACGCAGACGTTCGATTTCGAAACGAAA